CCACACTGAGATCCACAAAGCTGGAAAGAAAATGAATGATGCTCCCTCCATGTTTTCAATTCCCATCAGAAGGAAGGAACATGCACCCCAGGCCAGAGGTGAAGAGAACTGGCTGAGGTCTCCAGACCCTGGAGCTGCATTGCTGAATGAGTGGGATAGATGATGTTCTTCAGCCTTGCAGTAACTGGAGATCATTGGTATTTCTCAAGAGTTCTTGTTAACTACACTAAAGAATGTGAAACTTTAATGCAAGGTTTGCCTCATATGATCATTGAAGTGAGCATATCAATTGATATTTTTCTTTTAAGCCTCATTTTAAAAGCACTCATTGGTCTTCTAGACTTACCACAAATTCCTATATTTATCCCAATGGTTTTCATGTCAAGAATTCTATATGTGTGTCTGGGTGTGCAGGAGTGAGTTAGGGGAAGAAATGAGAAGGAGATAAAGCTTTTTGAGGTCCAGATCCATGATTTAGACTTCATGCTAAGGAGGATCCTTGTTTAGTATTCTTCCTCTCCTTTGCCTGCACTCGAAGCCCTTGGAAGAGGAAGATCTTCCTTGCAGGTGACAGTTGAACTTCTCCAAGGCACCAGAGAACATGGAGCTCCTTTGAAGCAGCCATTTCTCTTCCCTCCCTCTAATTTGTATCACTATGCAGTGATCACTGTCCCAGACCTGGGAGTGTATTCTGCCTCATCCTGTGCTAGGACCCTAGAGATGCTTAGGGTGGCCATGTTGCAGGAGATGGTGTCGGAGAATCAGCCGGAGATCCTTGTGGACCCTCCTCTGTCTTCATATACGATGCAGAGAGGACCTTTCTCAAGATCTATTGATATCATGGAACAGTCTTTCTCCCAATGTTGTTTATGGTTTATTGAATGTGTATTGAAGTGCTGATTTGCAAAATTCAGACAAAAACTCTTCCAGAGGTCTGGTAACATTCTCTAAGATTGTATCCCCTGCTTTGTCTAGCAAGTTTATGGAAGAGTTGGAAAAGAAGCATTAGGAGAAGAAGAAAACAAGGAGAGATTCCAATGCATCAGAGTATATTTGCCTCTTTTCAGTTGCTCTACAAACCTTCCCATATTTGTGATGAGCAAAACCCATCAGAATCATTCACATCTTTTTTCTTTTGTTTAAAACTCTATTAATACTTGATGCAATTACAGATCTTTGGGTTCGCCAAGGCTGAGATCACAACACTGCTGGCTCTTAAACCATCAGTGCATGAAAGGTTACCAGGCCAGGTGAATGCTGAGTTCAGGGCAGAATGAAACGCTTCTCCAACC